GCTGTCAATAAACTGGCCTCCATAGCCTCATTTCTTAAATGCACCCCAAAGCTGCCAATCGTTTTGGTCTCTGCTGCAGCTACTCAAGTTTGAGTTACGATCAGTAATGTTTCTGAGAATGTAAAAAAGCTTGCATTTCACCCCCAAAGTTTTTGTTGAAAATACTGGTCATTGGGCTGGGGATTTAGCTCAGTGGTTCGGTGGCCTGCCTTGCAAGCGCAAGGACCCGAGTTCAATCCCTGGTACCAAAAAAAAAAAAAGAAAAAAAAAAAGAAAAGAAAATACCGGTCATTGTAGTCTCTGAGGCACAGCTTCCCTAGAATAATACTGTATATCTTTTCTGTAGATATTTCATACTGTTTACACTTGGGAAATTGGCTTTATGAACTGTGGTTGCAGGGTAAAAAACATAATGTGAAATTCCTGAAACTGTTTCCACGAAGGCTTATTTTAGATTCCCAGGTCATTCACAAATACCCATTGCCCATGAAACTACCTCAAAAGCCTTAAAAGGTTTTAGAAAGGAAAAAAAATAAGTAGATAAATATAAAAAGCTGTATTCCTAGGTTTTTTTTTTTTAAAGAAACTCTTGTAAAAGATGAGTTTTATTAATAGAATTCATCTTTTTTAGAGGCAAATTTCACAATTTAATACTATAGCGAGTTTATCATTGTTCCCTTATCAGAGTTCAAAATAATTACTGAATTGAACAATAAATTCAGGGGATCTGGCTTTTAGGCCAAATACTTAGACCTTTAAAGACAGTTGCTTGACCTTTCTGTATCTGTTTCCAAATCTTTTAAAAGATAAAATGAGACATTTCTGGAAGTTCAGTACTCTATAAGTATTTTAAATGTTTTTCCTAAGTTTCTTGTCCTGAATAAATGTAGTCTCCACTTCTTTTCACATAAATAACTTCTGTGATAGGTCCTTTTATTCCATCATTTTGCCTTTAGTTTCTAAAAGGTAAGCAGTATGAATATGATACGAGAAAAAGAATCTGCACATCGCGCCATTCCTACATTTCCTGTTTCAGAGTCAGTCACCCCTATGCTGCCTTTCTGCTTTGGGGTGTAGGGTGTGACTCTTGAACCCAGAGTACAGTAGCGAGTGGTGACACGTGATCACAGGTGTAGTTAGAGCTCAGGTCTTGGGGGGCCAGGCCTGGAGGACAAGGAGCATCGGTCCTCATCTGTTCATTGGAGCCCTCAGAACCCTCTTCACCTGGCACACGCTCTGCCACCAGGCTGGACCTCAGACCCCAAAACAATTTTACAGATTTCGGCTTTTCATCTAAATCTGCAAAGGCAAAGGTTCTTTTTAAAATAACTGTACAAATCTTTATAAAGCATACTTTGTAAATGTGCCTCTGTAATATTTTTCCATTATTATTATTTTTAGACAAGATCTCATGAAGTAGTTCAGGCTGGCTATATAGCCCAGGCTGTCCACAAACTAATGTTGATCCTCCTGCCTCAGCTTCCTAAGTGCTGACATTACAGGCGTGTACTTCTGGGTGACTGTTTTTCCTTTTGAATAGAATTTCTGTTTGTGTGTGTGAAGTATTGCTTTTATTGTGAGAATTTGTTTGAAACGTAAAAAAGACTTCCAGTGACGTGTCCCTTTAGATTCTGTTGTTAGGTAGCATTTTTGTTCTGGCACTAATAGTTCTGTGTATTAAATAAACATTGAAGGCCTGTTGAGTGGAATGCTGCTTATGGGGAAACTGATGGGCAGGTGACGCTTCAGCTGGCCTTGAGATGAAGCTAGAGATTTACAGGTGTTGGATGTTAGCCTAAAGGATAGGGTTGGAGTCTCTCTCTCTTTCTTCTTTCTTCTTTCTTTTTTTTTCCCCCTTGCCCCCTCTCCTCCCTCCCCCACCCCTATTTTCCTTAATTCTAGATTAAACCGGGTCCCCCTCTGCCCCCATGCTAGGCAAATGCTCTACCACCGGCCTACATGGCTGGCCCCTCCCCCTATAAAATTCGGAGACAGAGTTCATTAAATTTCCCAGGCTAGCCTTGCACTTGTGTGGCACTATGCCTGGGCAGCTCCATCTATTTTTGAGACTAGAAGGCACAGGCCTATGCTAGGGGAAGAGAACTACAAAGAAATAGGTTCATTTGTTTCATAGGTGTGTATTGAGTTACTTTGCTTGTTGTTAATCCAGAGTGTTTTAGGGGCCATTGAACATACTGAAGTTGGGAGATGCGGAGATTGAAGGTGTACCCTGAGATGAGCGTTGTGCCGAGGACTGGGCAGTAAGTAGTTGGTGCCCTGAGAAGGACAGCTGCCGGGAGCAGCACTGTGGGGAGGGTGCTTGGGCTTTGCCTGGGAGGTTGGGGCTGTGGTATCTAGAGCAGACATTGGAGGCAGAGGGCGGACTTCCTGCTGCATGTACTTCCTGTCCTCTGCTGGACTACATCCCACCCTGCGCGTGGTTTATGCTCCTGTTTGTTTTAAACTTGATGTGTGTTGAGAGTGGCACAGAACTGTGAGGGAGAGAAGTATGGAGGGACTGGAGATATTAGAATCAAATCTTGATCCTGTTTCCATTCAGAATGTTAATGTTTTATTCTCAAATTGTATTAAGTGATTTATATTAATTTTTGGCATCTTAAATTTGCACTCAAGCTTTTGCCACTCATTTGGCACTTATCCTGACCTTTAAGGGCTTTGGAGTCCTGTTGAAGGGCTGGGCTCCAGGAGGAGGAGTCCGTGGGCATCCAGTGAGGTTGGGGGAGAGGAACCTTACCTAGAGGAAAAGGGAGAGGATAGTCCTCTTCCCTCAAAGCACCTTTGTCAGTTTGAAAGTGGAAGGGAAGCTGGGTGATAACCAGTGGTAACGCTTCGGGACACTTGAGTCCAAAGAGCAAAAGGAGGCAGAGAGGCAGCTACTTGACTGACTGTCACCTTGGGGACTGGGTTGCCTAAGGGAGCAAGGTTTCGGAAAAGCTTTCCTCGCTCTTCAGTCTACGATAGGTCGCACTGAATGAACTGGCAGAAGAGAAGCTGGGGTCTTCAAACGGGGGGGGGTTGGGGGGTGGCAGGACCTCCTATGGAGCGGCTGTCAGCAGGAGCAGTCTGGTTCACGTGGGAGACAGAATCTTTACCGTTTTGTTTGTAATAAGCTCATATCTTGGCTGGAACATTGTGGAACTTTTTCTTTTGAAATCGAGGAATTAGTTTTAAACTAAGACATTTTTGAAATTCAGGTGGGTTCCTGAATTAATACCTGTAGTACAGACCCCACAGCGTGTGTGGTTTCTGTCCTTTTTCAGTTCCTGCATAGATACTTGGAACTCCTGTGGCATTTATAAGCCTGTATCATGTTTCTTTGTGTCCCTAAAGTAGCATGCATTTGAATTAGTATTGCTTTGAGGCAGTGCTTAGACACCCCACATCTGTTGCATCACTGCACAAGTGTTATGGTCCTACAGATTGCTATTCACGTAACTCCTGATGTTAACCACTTTTCTTTAAAAATTCTGTTACTGTTTAGGGACATACTTTCATTCCCTCTTGCTCTGCTTAGGAGCATTTCCAGTGTTCACTTTGATGTTTGGAGGCTTGCAGTTTTTTAACTGGAGTCCTCACCTTCTTCCTTTCTCTGTATTCGCCTGTTCTGTGGAGCTCTTACTGTCCTGTCTTGTCTGTGTGCCCCACTTCAAGGAAGTGACCCCATCAGTCTCTGATGGTGCCCAGCTGCTGTGTGGGCCGAGAGCTGACACAGGAGATGACCTGCTCAGGTGTGTGTCCTCCTTTGTGTCCTGCCTGCACTTTCTGTCACCAGCCTTCTAAAATTGAGTTATCTCTTCCTTTTAACAAGTCCTTTTCATAGATTCCCCCACTTATGAGAGAGTTTATTCTGTGGCCTTGGAGAAGACAGGATGTTCCGAGTTTCCCTGGCGAGACCCAGGTGTCAGGTGCAGCACTTCCTCAGTTGAAGTCTTGTCTTCATTGCTCCACCCGTTCGTATTGGCATCTGCGGCTGGGGCATCCCTGTGCTCCGGCAGCCGGGTTCTCTCCTAGAAACACACAGGTCCAAGCAGTACTAAGTGCTTACAAGTTGCTGGTTACCTATCTGGGAGGCGGCCTGAAACACTCAGAGCTGTCCTTCACTACTTTCTCCAATCCTTTGCGTCAGCAGCCTCTGTCTGCTGAATATTGTATTCTGCTTTTTCGTAAGCATTTTCCCCATTTAGTGTCTTCTCCATTTTCTTTCTAACATTCTCAGTTCAGCTCACTTGAAATCTTGCTTCTTTACAAAACTTCCTTCCACCCAACGAGCCTGCTTTTGTAAATGCTGATGTTTGTGTATGGTGAATTCTTGGCTCTTAAGTTTCTTCTCCCAGTGTCTGAGTGAGAGAGTCCGACCTGAGAGCACAAAGTATGAACACGCAATAAAGGCCAGGAAAGCAGCAATTACTAGAAAACTGCCTCTGAAAATGCTTAAAAACGAGGAGAGCTCTGTTAGGTTTGTGTGACATGTGTGTCACAGATTTCCATGGCTCTCGGTGAATGATGGTAAAGTGTTGACTTTCCTGTGCGTGGAGGATCAGAAACTAGTTTTATTATTTTTTTTTATCTTTGAATTTACTCAATTTTGGTCATGTCTCTACATAATTCATATTAGTTTTTCATTAAAAAATCAAAATGAGATGATTAGTATTAATGCACAGAGTAAATCCGCAGAGAAAATATGTTAGACTGGGAGCGATTCTTGGGAAAGCCCTTTAAGGGCATTTTGTTTCTTAATCTGTAAATAAAGATTTCTGGTAAGTGGGCTCTTAAAATTCCTTTCTAGGTTTAAATTTTGTCATTTTCCCATCGCCAATAAGTAGTTAACCCTTGTTAGTCTCTTGTGTTTACAGATTTTGTTGTCCTGTTTGCCTTTACCTTCTAGTTTAGGCTTAGTCATTATTGATTTATTTAGAATTTATTCTGTTCTGGATCTAGTGATCTTTTCGCAGTGAGCATCCATTAATAATTCAAGCAGACAAATTAACCTAGTTATGATTTGTTTTCTCTTCATTTTTAAAGGTATTTTCAAAAGAAATAATTCCAGACTGATGGATGAAATTTTAAAACAACAGCAGGAACTTCTGGGCCTAGATTGTTCCAAATACTCACCAGAGTTTGCAAATAGTAATGACAAAGATGATCAAGGTAAGCATGAGTAAAAATTGGATATGTACAGGTAATGTCTGAAGACTCAGGTCTTATGTTTCAGGTTATACTCTTTCAGTGTCTTCTCTTTCATTTTGCTGGTAGTCTTTTATGTCATCATTAATAGATTTCAGCTTCTTTGTCTTATTCAAAGATAACTTCCAGAGAAAGATAAAATAATTTGTATTGATATTAAAAAGTGAACACATGTTAAAGATTTTATTTCAGTCGCAAATTTTGTAACTGGTTCAGCAGAGAATCTAAAGAACAGACATATTCATACATCAGGAAACAAATGTGTAAACAGGGGCAAAACTGATTTAGGAAAGATGGTGGGAACTTCCAGACTAGAAAGAATTTGCATGTGTGGAGATAAAAAGTTTGCATTGATAACAGTTTTCCTAGAATCATCAGTTGTAAAGTTGTTCAGTGCACTCAGATGTGTATATTATAGATACTACATACATATTCCATTGAAATAGTTTTTTTTCAAGTCTTCACTTTTTTCTTTAATTCTCTATTAATAATTGTACTATGTACATGGAATTTTAGATGAGTAAATATTGTTAGCTGGCTTATAGTTAAAATTCCGATTTCCTAGAAGATTTATTCACAATTCAACTCATTCTGAGCCCTTGAAAAGGGTGGCAGTATATAAATGTGAGTGTGGTTTGGGATTTATTGGTCCTTTCACAGGAGAATAGCTAAGTATGTCTTGGTATTGAAACTGAAGGTGTGATTCTTGTTTAAGAAATCTATTTTATTTTGGCCTGACCTTACAATTTGGTAAAACTGATTTTCAGAATAGTAGAAGAGTATGTTTTAACAGTGACTTGTTTGTTTCTTGCTCCAGTTTTAAATTGCCACTTGGCAGTGAAGGTGCTGTCCCCAGAAGATGGGAAAGCCGACATTGTGCGAGCTGCTCAGGACTTCTGCCGGCTGGTTGCCCGGCAGCAGCAGAGGCCTGAGGACCTGGACGTGGACATGTTGGACAGTTTGATTAGTGAGTCACAAATACATGTCTGCTTTGTTTCAAGGACACAGTGTGAAAGGAAGTACACGTACAGTACTTAGGTTTCTTTCATAATCTAAAACCTACTTTTTGTTGTTGCTACGCTTTTAATAGTACTGAAGTTTAAAGACTCACGTATGAAAATGATTTTGAGATAGTGAAATTTATAGTAAATTCACTTACATGAGAAGTTAATGATAAGTGAAAGGGTGTGTGTGTGTGTGTGTGTTCCCATTTCTGAGGACTAAACCCAGGACCTTAGGCGGGCTAGGCAAATGTTTTCTTGCTGAGCTGTGTCCCCAGCCCAAGGAAAGGATTGTGAGTTTTTGCAATGGCAAATATTCTTATATTCTTGGAAATAGGACTTCTGCTTGTCAGCCTTCTTCCTTCTCTGTCTCCCTTTCTTTTTAGTTGAATGTTCTGTGAAGTGTGAACATAATGGCTTTTTAAACGCAGTTCCAAGAATATAATTTTGGGGGTGGTGGTACTGGGGATTGAACCCAAGGCCTTTGCACAGAGCTACATCCCCAGCTTTTTTTTTTTTTTTTTTTTTTTTTTTAAAAGAGAAGTTGCACTGGCTGGGCTCAAACTTGTGCTCCTTTTGCCTCAGCTTTGCAGAGTGCTGGGATTATAGGTGTGTACCACCATACCCATCTCAAAGAATGTAATCTTACTATCACACATATTCTTTTTTTAGTGTTCTGTTATGCTCTACATATAACGGTCAAATGAATCTCTACATTTGTCACATTATACCAAAATAGAACCTTATGCATATGTATTTTCAACAGTTTATGAAAGACTGGTTAGTTATTCTCTCTCTAGCTTCTGTAGGAACTGTTCACTTTTACTTTATGGTCCTTCTTCTAACCCCCCCCCCTTTTAACCTTTTTCTGGTATCGGGGATAGAACTCAGGACCTTGAGCTTTCAAGACAGGCAGTGGAACCACTGAGCTAAATCCCTGGCCCTTAACTTTTTTTTAATGAAATATGTAAAAAGATCAATAGAAGTCAAGTTATTCTCATATTCGGACAAAAACACTATTCTACCACGTGACAGGTGGGTAATGTAAAATGAATGTGGTACATCTCAGTAAGACTTTTCCATCTATTATGTCATTACTTATAATTAACAATATAAAAGTTTACACTCCTTTTAGTTTCCATTTAATATATAATAAAAGCTTTATGGTGTAATATTCAGTACAAGTAATCTGAATGCATATTAATCTGTAATGGAATAATGGTACTACTCATCAGGAAAGGGAGGAATTCTTGGTTCCCTTCTGGAGGTTACTTTTCTCACGTCATTAGGATGTATGTCTTTTTCCTTGCTCTTCTGCTTAGAATGAACATGAGCTTTTTCTTTGCTCCTGCTTTGATCACTTCCAGTCTGACAGTGGCAATTGTAGTGCTATAACCTGCCAACAGTGGGCATACCAGCATTATTCTTGATCATTTTTTATTTTTTATTTTTTGGTACCTGGGATTGAACTCCGGCCCTTACACTTGCAAGGCAGATGGTGGAACCACCGAGCCAAATCCCCAGCCCTATTCTTGATCCTTTTGAAGAAAGGCAGTCTTTCTAACAAACTCACACCCATGAATGGCTGTCAGTGCCATGTAATTCCAAGACATTCACTTACCTTCATGCATAGCGTCCATTTACCTCATTTACTACTCAGCATTTCTTGTCTCGGCTGTGCACTTGAATCTTCAGTCTCTGCATCATCTTTGACCAGTGAAATATAGTTGACCTCGGGCCTCGAGTCACTAATCCTCACTTGACACTCCCCCTTGTTTTCCTGTCATTCTGGGACCGTTGCTCAGAGATTGCTGGGATAGTGATTGTTACTGCACTCTGAGGCCCAACCCGGGAGCAGTTTATGAGGGCGTCCTGAGCTGGGGTCCTCGGCTGGTCTTCAGATAGCCTGTGGGAAAATGCTGAAGTGTTGGGCCCAAGTATTTTACCTGGGGTTGTAGGGCTACCCTGAAGTTAGATGCACACAGTCATTACACTGACTCGTGGCAGTCCTGGTACTGTCACTCCCAGAAGTTTCCTTCTGTGTTCAGTGCCCACCCCTATCTCCCAAGGCAGGCCACGCCTGGCTTGCTTTCTGACTTACTTTTGTGTGTTCTTTACCTTCCTTTGTTTGCTCATCTATGTTGAATGTGATAGTAGTTCATTACTTTTTATTGTTGAGTATTCTTTTTTGTTTGTTTGTTGAGGCAGGGTCTCCCTTTATAGTTGAAGCTGGCCTCGAACTCACTATGTAGCTGGCAGGCTGGCCTCAAACACATGGCGACCCTCCTGCCTCAGCCCTGTAAGCCCTGGGATTACAGGCATGTGCCGGCTTTTGTTGAGGATTCTTGTTTATGGATAGACGACATTTTGTTTATCTGTTCATCAGTTGATATACATTTGGTTTATTTCTGGGTTTTTGTTTTTTGTTTTTTGTTTTTTTTTGGTTTTTTTTTTTTTTTTTTTTTTTTTTTTTTTTTTTTTTTAGTACTGGGGATTGAACTCAGGTCCTTGTGCTTGCAAGACAGGTGGTGGAACCATTGAGCTAAATCCCCAGCCCCAGGTTTTGATTAATACTGATAAAAGTTTTTGTGTGGGTATGTTTTCCTTTCTTGGGGTACCTACCTAAGAGTGAATTGCTGGTATTCAACTTGTTAAACACTACCAAACTGCTTTCCAAATAAGATGTATTTTTTATATCCCTATATGGTGTTACCTAGTTTTCCCTCCCTCCCTCCCTCCCTTCCTCCCTCCTTTCTTTCTTTCTTTCTTTCTTTTTCTTTCTTTCTTTCTTTCTTTCTTTCTTTCTTTCTTTCTTTCTTTCTTTCTTTCTTTCTTTCTTTCTTTCTTTCTTTCTTTCTTTCTTTCTTTCTTTCTTTCTTTCTTTCTTTCTTTCTTTCTTTCTTTTTCTTTCTTTCTTTCTTTCTTTCTTTCTTTCTTTCTTTCTTTCTTTTCTTTCTTTCTTTCATGTACTTTGGCCATTCTTGTGTGTTTGTGTGGTAGTTCTTTCTTTCTTTCTTTCTTTCTTTCTTTCTTTCTTTCTTTCTTTCTTTCTTTCTTCTTTCTTTCATGTACTTTGGCCATTCTTGTGTGTTTGTGTGGTAGAATTTTCTTGATGTTTTATTTAACATTTCCCTAATGACTAGAGAACATTTTTCATGTTTCAATTTGCACAACTATGTCTTGGGTGAGGTGTCCAGATATTTTGCCCATTTTTATTTAATAAGTCGTTTGGTTATTGAATTTCAAGAAGTCTTTATATATTCTGGATACATGTCTGTTATCATTAGCAAGATACAATTTACAAATAATTTTTCCCAGACCATAACTTTCTCATTTTCTTGGTGATTTCTTTCAGCATTTTCAATTTTTATGAACTGCAAATTTATCTTTTTGTTTTCCTTTTATGGTTCATGCATTTGGATTCATATGTAAGAGATCTTTGCCTGATTCAGACTCAACATTATTTTTATTTTCTTGTGTTTTCATCTAAAAATTTTATAGATTTTGCTGTTACATTTAGGCCTTCAATCCATTTGGCTTAACTTTTGTAAATGACATGAGGTGAAAGATACTAATTGTTTTTCTATCACTATTTGTTGAGAAGACTAGTTTTTTCTTCCTCTGAATTGCTGTGGTTTCTTTGTTGAAAAATAGCTCAGACCGGGGATTTAGCTCGGTGGTTCTACCGCCTGCCTCGCAAGCATAAGGACCAGAGTTCAATCCCCGTTACCAAAAAAGAAAAAGATAAAAAAAAAAGAAACATAGCTCACCATAGCTCTATGAGTTTAATTCTGGGCATGCCATTCTATTCCATTGGTCTGTATGTCTATCTTTATAAAATCTCTCTTTGATTACTGTAGTCTGTCATAGCAAGTTCTGAAATCAGGTAGTGTAAAGCTTTTGGCTTTGATTTTTTTCCCCCAAATTCATGGTCCTTTGTGTTTTTATTAAATTTTAGGGTCACCTTTCCAGTTCCCAAAAATAGCCCTGTTGGGATTTTGGTATGGATTGAGGTGAATCTGTAGCTCAATTTGGGGAATATTGACATTGTACAATAGTGAATCTTCTAATCCATGAAAATCTATTTCTTCTTTATTTGAATCCTGAATTTTTTGTCACAACATTTTATAATTTCATGGTTTAAAATTCAACTTCTTTTTATAATTTATTCCTAAGTATTTTAGTCTTTTTTGATGTTATCAATAATGGAATATTTTCTTAGTTTTATCTGCAGATTGTTGATAGCAGTTGGAAATACAAGTATTTTTAGTACTGATTTTATATCCTGTACTCTTCCTAAAATTCACTTAAAAGTTGAAGTACCCTTTTTGTAGAGACAATTTTCTAAATATAAGGTCATCTCATTACAAATAAAGACAGTGCTGTCTGTTTTCAGATTTTAGACTGTTTCCTGTTCTGCGTAGTATAGTGGTCATTGGTGGTTTGTACACTGGTTGTACTCAGACACCTGTGTGAGGCTCTAGTAGTCTGTGTGGAACCAAAAAGTACATTCCGAGTTGACACTGGTTCTCAAGTCTCCTTGCCCTTTGCTTTTCCTGGGCTCTCTTCCTGCTCTGGCCTCACCCCCGCCTAGGTGGGCAGTTTTCCTTGCAGCTTGGATATAGAATTCACGTGCCTTTATCTCCAGGACCTTCCTGTTGATTTTGTGGTCTTGGGAGATACAGCTCAGGCCGATAATACTTTTGTGTTTTCTTCCCTGACTAGTAGGAATTTGCATGTTGTTTTCTTCCTCATGGCCACAACTTCAGTTTAAAATTCAGTCCATATCTTTTGGCAGCAAGAAGCAAATCCTCTAGTTTTGTTGTCATCCCTGTGCTGCTAAAACTATTTCTCTGCGTTGATTGGGAGTAGAAGTCTCAGTCAGGGAGGCCATAGACTCTTGCCCTTCTTATCTGAAGCTCTAGCTGTTTATTTTTGAGGCATAATTGCCTTTTAATGGCTGTTTATGCCTAATTAACGTGTGTTTATAGGGAAGATGGTCACCTCTGCACATCAATATTATCAGAAGTTTCTTCTTTTTCTAAAGAGAATTGCTTTTGAGGTGACAGAGCGGTATGTGACCTGCATACACCATTTGCTCCACTGATGTGGACTGTGTGGGGCCCTTTCATGGAACTGATTCCTCCATGTTACTGTTGGCCAGGCTGTCCGAGGAGCTGAGCTTTGTTTGACACTGTGTGACAGACTAGTTGGTGGCAGAACTGTTAGAACTCAGACTTTTTAGAGTGCAGTGTCACGTGTCTCATCCCAGCGACTCTTCCTACTTTACTTTTAAGCAGTTGAACTCCCCATCCCCACCCTCTCCATGCTGGATCTTACATGGAAACCAGTTCATAACACATACAAAATATCTGGGTACTTGTCAAGTCTGGGGTGCAGCCTTCTGTTTCCCTTTGAAGTTGTGTGGACTCTGGGAAGACTGGAAAGCACCTCACTGTATAGCTGGAGTTGGGCCCTGGGAGAAGGAAGCGGGGAGATACTTTCTCAGGCCCTTTTTGTGTCTGAAGTTGGTCCGTACATCGTGGTCCATATAGTTGTGCCCTTGAGCATTGCCTTTCCAGGGTGCCAAGAGAACCCCCATGCTGAAAAAGGATTGAGTGTGTTTGGGCTATGCCCTGGATTTAGGGTGAGTTTCGGGTTGTCCGCCTTATTAGGTATTAGTCCAGTTACATGGACTTCGAGAAAATCTCCACATTTGGAGTGGACATAGCTACCAAAATACATATTGAGGATTGTGAGAGGCATGAAAATGGAGGTAAAGCTCCTGAAAAGAATGGACCCATCATATAGCAGTTTTGCCCTTGATCTTTGTATGTGTGTAAGTGTAAGCAGTAAGTGTTAATTTCACATGTGTGTCTTTATTTCCAAGGTTCCAATCATTTCCCTGATCCTGATTTAATATTGAAGTTTGGTCCTGTGGACAGCACATTAGGCTTTCTTCCCTGGCAAATCAGACTGACTGAGATTGTGTAAGTAATTGAAAGTATACTGACTATGTTTCCACTTGGCAAGTGTTGGGCCTAGCACTGCGCTGGATCTGGTGGGAATTCCCGAAGAGCTATGTCACCACATCTTTACTTCCGACTCTTTACAATGTCAATGGCAAGATAAAAGACGTACATAAAGAGACACAAGAGAGTAATGGTTGTGCAGATGTCTGGTATTGGCACTTACATCTCAGGAGCTGAGGATTGAGCCTGAGTGGTTGATTCACAGAAATCATATCCAGGGGGACATATCCAGGGTGCGTAGTAGGTGTAGAAAGTTTGTATTTAAAATGCAGGCTGATTGTAGAGTGGGTAGGAAGGGAAATGAAGGGAAAGCTGAGGCGCATTTTTAAAGAAGCAGGATGTGGCTTGGCCAGAGCAGAAGGTTAGCAGTAGTGTGCTGAGGGTGTCAGAGTCAGGAAGGCTTTTAGCACCAACCTAAGGAATGTGGAATAGTAGACCGGGAGGTTTAAGTCTCAGTCGCAGGTGGGTGATAGTGCTATTGAGAGGGAACTAGAAAGTGAAGGGAGCACTCATGTTGAAGGGATGATGTGGATGATTCTGAGGCTGTGGTCAGTGTAGGTGGGGTCACTTAGCGGGGCAGATAGCGATGTAAAGTTGGTGACTGGATGAGAAGCCAAGGTTCAAGATGTTCATTTGGGGATCATCAGTACCAGGAGGTCGTTGGACCTACAGTTATGAAGGGGTCCTTTAAGAAATGCAGTCTTAGAGGCAGGTGGGAGGAGAAAGTATGGCGTGGAGAGGCACAGGAGAGCACATACTGTGGGTCAGAGTGAGAGAAGGTTGTGTGAAGCTGGTCCCACCACTGCACAGGCAGGGAAGGTGGGAGGAAACATGGTTCACCCAGGTCTTGACTCTGGGTGTCCTTGGGGCCACATGTGCCTGCCAGTCGGTTTTCCCCAGGGTCTTCCAGGTTATGCCTTTCACGTGGGCTCCAAGAATGGCAGCGGTGATACGTTGGAGTGTTAATTTGAGAGCGGAGAAAAGTGTGTGTTAGAGCAGATAGATCTTGGTATGCAGCTCCGTAATGTGACTTTGGAAAGTGCAGCTTCTCTGTTTGTGCAGTTGACATTGTACCATGAAGTTGAGGATCAGCATCTGCAGTGGACAGCAGATACCTCCCTCACAATAGGCTTCCCTGCCGTCAGGCTCGCCCTTTGTCTTCTCCCCATGAGACGGAGGCCTGTAATGGGCAAGGAGTGCGTCCTGCTTCTGAGGTGCATCTTGGGGAGTGTCAGGAGATGGTAAAGAATATCACAGGTGGAAGATGCGGGCCTTGAGGAGGACATGGACACGGCCTGACAGGAGCATCCTTCAGTGTCTTTTGAGGGCATCGCTGGAGTAGATGACCAAGGCATAAGAGCGGTAGTGGAGATTACTGAGATGTTACTTGATGCCATTAGGAGATTTTGATTAGGAATTTTTTTTTTTTTTTTTTTGGTACCGGGGATTGAACTCTGGTCCTTGTGCTTATAAGGCAGGCCACCGAACCACTGAGCTAAATCCCCGGCGTTGATTAGGAATTTGAAGTGGTGACTTTTTACAGAATTTCTGGCAGTCAGGAAGGATGACAAAAAGGCACATTTAATGAGTGCCCCCAGAGTCTGGCAGGCGGGTGTGGTGTGTGACCTGGAATGCTCAGTGTGACCTGGCTTGGGTTTGACTCTTGTATCACTTGGAGTTTCCAAGGCTCACTATAAAGCTGTAGAAATTAGTTCAGGTATTTGCCTAAGGGAGCCTCCTGGGCAGGGGAGCCCTCTGGCCATGTATTCATTCTGTCCTTACCCTGTAATAGCTCCGGGAGCCCGGGATGGGGAGCCCTGGAGGCAAAGGTTCCCTGCTGCAACACACACGTCCGGGATGCTGGGAATGACCTTCACACGTTGGCCTCGGAGAGTCTGGGGTGGGTTTGAGGGAGATGGTTCTCCATAGATCTCCAGCTTTGACTTAGTCCAGTTTAACAGGGTATGAAACCAGCTCTCTGGACCTGCTCTTGTCTTCTTAGGGAAAGAAGGGCAGATTCATTTGCACTTAAAATTGCTTCATGGTGGGGTTTCCAGTGTTTTGGTGGAGACAATTTGGCATATTCTGATTGTAATTTGTCTCCTCCTGTCCTTCCCCGCTTTTTGGTCATTGTCCTCTGCTTTCCCCACCACATTACAGGGAACCTCTAATGGGTTTTTCTCTGTGTTTCCTTTTCAGCTCTTTGCCTTCCCACCTAAACATCAGTTATGAGGACTTTTTCTCTGCCCTCCGCCAGTACGCAGCCTGTGAGCAGCGCATGGGGAAGTAGTGATCCCTGGTTGCTACTTTCAGGCTTTGGGAGAAGAGGACCTGGGGGACTCTGATGTTTACAGACACCTGCGAAACGCTGTATACACCTAGTTCATATTCCTCATAATTTATCAGCAAACACAAAAAAGTGTCTTACTTGAGATGAGTGTGTGTATGCGCGTCTGCGTGCGTGTGTGCGTGCGTGTGTGTGTGTGTGTGTGTGTGTGTGTTTGTGTAAGGAAGTAAACTTATAAATGGGGGATGTATTGGAGAACAGTACATAAACCTACACCTTGGAGGAATCGCCACCGTCTTCGGAGCTGAGATTTCAGATTGGAAGTATTCAGGCCCTGCCACTTCCCTGTTTTTGTGGGGAGTAGAGGGATGGATCAGAGCTGTTTTGATTGTTGTTTGTGGGGGAAGGGAATAATTTTGTTGAGTCTTTCCTGGTGACCAAACTTTAATTTTCAAGAGTAGTATATGGACTTAATAAATGGAAGTCTTCTCGTTTGACTGCGTTTCCCACGAGTGGAGTTGGGACCACCCAGGTTCACACGTGCCTCCGTGATCATTTCGGACTTCACTGTAGTCAGTGCAATTTGAGAATGTCTCTCAGGGGTCTTTGGGCTGTGAAGAACATTTGAAGAAAGAGCTCTTTACTATACTGAAATGCAGAGTTGTAAAAATTTAAATATTGAATTAGGCAGTGAAAACCAAAAATGAGTAAATTGTAATAGTAAAAGTAAAGGTGAAACTTTTCCTTAAAAAAGGAAACTTTTAATTCCTTTTTTTGTTCGGTGCGTTGTGTGCTATATAGCATCCAAAGTTAGTAAAATATTTTCATTAACTGCTCTGAGCATTTAAAAGAATTTGGAATAGCACTTTCTCCAAAAATCAACTTGTTTCTCATTGGGATAACACCTGGAGTTTATTCATCAAACCCTTGTTGAGACTTTGCATAAAAGATGAAGGAAGATTGAGGCCTATGTGGGAAATAAAATATTAACCAAAGTCTGCAAAAATAAGTTAATATTCTCTTTTGTGACAGAGAACAGCTCTGGTTCTGTTACTTTATAAATGAATCAGTCACTTCTTGGGAGGTGTTTAGTGTATTTTCCCTCACTGCTGACCCTGGGACAGACACGTTCTTCATATTTGATGGACTGTTTTCAGATTGCTGTCGTATCGCAAACCTCGCCATCCAGAACCATACACTGAGAGTGGAGTAGCCTGCGTACTCAGAAGTCTGAAAAGTAGCAGACAAAACTGGATTCGGAAAATATGGTTTGGAATTGCTTGTCAGATTCTAAAGCGGTGAAGAATAAATGTTTCAATTTTGGATTAAAACCATTTATGATTTTAAAACTACACTTGAAATAAAAATGATTAAACTAAATTTTGGTCCAGTGACATTACTTTGCACTTCATAGTTTGTAATTTTTTAAGTCTTTAATTTATTTCCACATTTTGTGTGAAGCTACAGCATATCCAAACTATTAGAAACTTCCCGTTTCTGTTGTACTTAGCAGTTACATCCCGTTATTTTACTTAAGCCTTTTGTATGATAGACGATGTAAATGTCATTTATAAATACTTGGCAGTATGTACAGCTTTAATGAATTTATTGGGCCCACTTGAAGAAGGGAGTTAATGTTTGTTAAAATGAAGTTAAATAAATTACCTATTGGGATGCAGCCCAAATCTTTACAAGATTGAGTATTTGATTTCTTTTTTTAATTTTGTGGCACTGGGGCTCAAACCCAGGACCTTGCGCTTGTGAGGCAGGCACAGTGCCACTGAGTTAAATCCCCAGACCCAAGATTTAGTGTTGTTTTTCACTTTTCTCCTCTTCCGCAGTACTGTGTGTTTATTGAAGCTGTAGTCCATGTTCTCAATCTGCTGTAGTCAGAAGAAGAGACTCCTGAGACAAGTTCACGTAGAGCCTTCGCAGAGCTTTCTCACATGGTGCGCCTGCCAGCACCATCTCCGATTTGAACAGCATTGCTTGTTCTATAATTCTTGGCAAAATCCTCACACTCCCGTTGTCGGAGATCCTCAGAATTGATCACTGTAAAGAAAAGCATATGTCTTCATGTGTATTGAAGGCGTTGTCTTAACACTATTTCTTGACATTCCCACAATGGAAAAATCACCAGATCAGGCCCTCTCTGTGGATGGAGCAGAGCAAGAAGGGAGGATTTGAATTCCACTCCCACTTCCAAGTTGTGGTTTGCTGCTTAAAGCTAATGGGTTAGTGTTGTAAAGTCAAAAGGCTGGTTTTAATGTGAACAGCGAAGTATGGCCTGTTGTGACAAAGGCTGAATGAAGACTGCCTGTCTCTGAGCAGATGTTTAATAATGAACAGTGCCAAATACACTGTGCATATCAATAATTTAATCTTTGTATATTAATCCGCTTCCTTCTCTTGTGTGATGGAATGATGCATAGAATCAGTTTGATCCTTGTGATGTTTTGTAAGACTGTAGACTTTGGCAATATGTAAATAATGTGTACAGCAAATTTTTATGATTAAGGAATCAAATTTATTAAATTTTATCAAAAGTTGAAACAATTATGAACAAAAACCAATAAAAGAATATACTCTTCGTGGTCTGTAGTACATGAATTACATTTATTCTGAACATATAGGGACTGCAGAAATGAGAAACTCCTATGACTAGATAGCAGTGCTAGTTTTTTTTTTATAAAGATAGTATGCTTTTGGTTGAAATGTATTCCCATTTTTAACAAACACCTGAAATCTTACAATCTTTATTTGCCTTTTGTTAAGATAATAAATTTAGCTTCGCAATTGCCAGGATTTTCAAAATTCCACAGTAACTAAAAATCAGTTATTTTCACTGAATATGGAATATGGAAAGTATGTGTACTCTTAAAAAAGAAATTTGATAGTTTTTGTCAAAGCAGGAAATTGAAAGCTAAGAGCTGTAATTTGTCTTATGCTGCAAATTCATTGACAAGACAGTTGTAAGACAGTTGGTTTTTAAGCATGGTTTACATCAAATTTGTCAAAGGTCATATTTTAACTCTGGGAAATATCTTTAACAAAATTATGTAGAAGTTTAAGGATAGTTTGAAATAAAACCCAGGAAATAAGATTAGTGTCAGCAGTTGCCCAAATCCCTAGATAACTGGTTGTATACTGATAAAATTGGTAGGGGAATACAGAAAATTTACATAAATTTAAAAAAATTATACAAAAACAGGATTCAGAGAAGCATAAATAAAGGAAAATAACCTCAGTGATTACATTTTTTGCTGATCCAGAATTTTTTTGTACTTTTAAAAATGTATCCCACTGTCAGGTTTAATAAATTCTTTTAAAACTAAAAGCCAGCATATGAGAGTTTTGTGTTATGTTCGATTTCTGTGTCTGAATATAAACAGTTATGTCAGTCCATGAAAATGTTTTGAAAAAATTGTCCACATTCAGTTCCATATCCTTCAGATAATTGTTTGTTTATTGTCACCCTGTAATATTCAGGGACTGTAAGTTAATTTTAACAATTCGTTTCCAGAGTATTGCAAAAAAAATTCCACTTGACATTTGGATTATCTGCTGTTAGTCTGTTAATACTTCTTTTCATTATACTAGTAAGTTACTGTTGTTAGGAGGATATGAAGGACTGAAAAAAACATCAAATTACAGCTTTGGTGCCGTCAGCATTGTTTTGTACTTTTGTGTCTGCTCTCTCTGTCTGGTGGACACTTTGCAGTAGCATCTTTTATGGGTTTGATTCACAGAGCCCTTTATTTTAGTAAATGTATTTTGACATCAGTCCCCAGTAGCAGCTGTGCACAGCGACTGTTACGTTTCTTTTACATTCCATAGAGATGGGTGGGCGATAGTAGTAGTGACCACTGCCTTCAGCAGATTGTAGTTAATTAGAGAAGGTGGGACTTGAAGAACGAGGACTGCTCAGCTGGGGCTGCTTGACGGTGTGTAGTGCAGGGCTCCAACCCACCCCGGTGTCTTTACTTGCTTTTCTCACCTGAGACCAAAAACCCGGCACCCACATTTAAAGGTGCAAACGTTTCATTAGTTCAGTTTGTAGAGGTTTTGGTCCCTAGATGGCTGGCTTCAAGGCAGGGTGGTGTGGCAGAGGGGTGTCATGGCAGGTAGAAGACAGCAAAGCAACAAGGAAGAAGTTGAGCCTCTGTTCCTTATATTGTGTTCAGGCTGACAGGATCAGGGTGGTGTCAGACCAATCCATACTGATTTAGTAGTCATGTGCTCTATATTCAGCCACCTCTGAAGAAGCCCCACCTGTGACTGCATAAGGCTTTGGGGGACATCGAGGCACAACCATAACACCTGGGGACTTTTGATACCGATACCAGTAGGGTCAGGAAGAGAACAAAGGTCTGCTCGACTCACTGTCCTGCAGGACAGCCCTTATCACATGAACTACTCAGCCTGAGTGTGGAAGTACTGTGCTTCTATAGTTTTTGTCACTTTGTAAGTTGGGAGTGTTTTTGTGACTTGTCAACTTGATCGGACAGTTGTGATTTGCCAACTTGGTCCACTTGGGGGCAGCTCCCAAAAATACAGTGTGTTGACCAAAAACATGAACTTCACCCTTAGCAGTTAGGCCTGGATCTTTTGCTTTTCGTAATTCAAATCTCTTCCCCTTTCTGGGAGGGTTGTGGAGGTGTGTGTGGTCTTGGGGGTCTGTCTGTCTGCTGATTCTTCCTCTGGCCCATTCTCTGCCCTGCTCCCTGGTCTCCATGAACTAAGCAGCTTGGTTCTGTTAGGCTTTTCTAGCATGGTGTTCCTGCCTCAGAGCCAGCTGACCATAGACTGAATCCACTAACCCATAGACAGGATTAAGTTGTGGGTGTCTGGTACTTGGTCACAGCAACTGGAGGGCTAATGCAGGGAGTGATGCTGCTGAAGTTTGCCTAAAGTAGGCTGTGTGATATTTTAAAAAATCAAGTTCATTTAGATTTGAATCTAGAGAGAGAAAAATTACATATACTTTTTTTTTTTGAGACAGGTTCTCACTATGCAGTTGAAACTGACCTGGAACTCACTACGTAGCCCAGGCTGGTCTCAAACTCAAAGCGATCCTCCTGCCTCAGCCTCCCAGGTGCTGGGATTACAGGCATACATAAACCTATTTTAATTATATGAAATTAAAACTTTTCCAGAGTTTTTATTCATTATATTCACATGCTTATCCTTGACATTTTGCATTCTACCAGTTTTCAAAAGCCTATCAGTTTTTAATAGAAAATGTTTTCAACATCTATAAACGTAAGTAATGTCATGTTTCAGATCATCCATTGTAAGAATATTAAACTCATTTCATTCATCCTGCACGTAATTCTGATTTCAGGACAAAATGAGCGTGCATCCTTTCAAATGTGGCTTTAATCCAGTTTTAGAAGGTAGAAATATTCCTCATAAACTTACTACTTGCTGAGCTGGTGTTTATGTTTGAGCTTTCTACTCTGTATTTTAAAAAAATATAGTGTGTTGTCCAAAAATATGAACTTCACCCTTAGTAGTTAGGCCTGGATCCTTTGCTTTTCCTAATTCAAATCACTTCCCCTGTGTGGAAAAGCAAATATTTCTTGTTACTGTCTCTGATCCAGCCAATCTTTTCAGCAGTTTTGCTCTTTCCTATTTTCAGTCTCTTCCCCTCAGCTACAAATGATTTTGAGATTTTCAATGTTCTTTGTTCCTTGAGCTATTCCTTCTTTCCTTTTTTCACTCGTGTTAAACACCTTGAAAACTTTTACTGCCTGTATATTTGTTTCCTCAAGATTCCCTATCTCTTACCTTGCTCCTATCATGCATCAGTTTATAATGTACTGTGATTTACTGAATTACCAAGCTTACTTTTTTGTAGCCTGCCTGCCAGTAAAATGTAAGCTTATTCAGGGCAGGGATTTCTTCAAAAATTGCTTTAGGTCACAAGTAAAACATACGTACAACATGATTTTATATACAGGGTGCAATTGAAAACACACTGACTAAACTTTGAAAATTAAAAGTACTCCTTTGGCCTCAAACGTTGTTCTTGTTGGCTTCTGAGGCAGAGTTATGGAAGTCTTCCCTTGTGAGTGTCTATGAGGTGTGAGAAAAATGCGGTGATGTCTGCTGCCACACGCCTCCCGGGCCAAAGGCCTGTAAAACACAGTGGTGTGCCTTCACTCTCCAGGTCCTCAGCAGGTCTGACACCAGTACATCTAGGTCTTCCTCAAAGTCGGAGCAACTACGCGTGGTTAATATTGTAAAGCAAGGCAGCCAAGGCCGTGCGATTAAAGACTCAGGCGAGAGCACTCGCAGAACCGCTTGACAAAGTGGCGCGAGTGACAGGAGAAGTGTGTTCGACGCACGGGCTGTGTTCCGAAGGGGATTCCTGCACTGTGTCTTTCACGTCTTTAACACCGGGTCGCACTTCGTACGTAGAAATTGTGGAATAGCTAAATGCGGCTGATATATATCTTACCTCAGTTACGTTTTGTGGTGCGAGTACTTAAAACTTGTCAGTGATTTTCGAGAAACAGTATAACCAA